GCTGGGGGCTCGGGCGCGGCAGGGACGCTCAACTCGCTCTCTGTTTCCTCGCTGCCCTCCGGCCGCTCCGGCGGGGAGTTTTCAGGGCTCTGCTCCATCTCAGCTCCCTTTTCCTCCTCATCCTCGGGCACATCATCTGACTTTGCCGTATCCACTGTGTGCACCATCAACAAGCCAGCTGATTTTTGCTGCGAGGTATCCACGATGTTTATCAACATGTTCTTCTTCTCCTCAGCTTTCTTTTCTTTCCCTGCATCCATCTCGTACTTGTTCTCAGTCTCCTGCCGTCTCAACAGGCCACGGGTATTTTGCCTGGTGACAGTGGCAGTAACAGGAAAAGTCGTTTCCATGTTGGGTCTCAGCTTGGTGTCGATGTAAAGCGGTTTGTTAAGGTCAGTTTTGACTGCGTCCCCTTTTCCTGGAATCTGCTGTGTCTGCTCTTTCATGGCTCTGTCCCTGGCAGAGAGCGCGAGGGCAAGTGGAGAGTTGGGATCCAACAGCTTCCCTGTGACGGGGTGGACGTAGCTATCCGAGCCGGGAGCGCTCGTGGGCTTGGCTGCCGCCATGCTGTTGTCAGTGCCTTTCGTTTTGGATGGAGCATTCAATGTCCTTGAGTCACTCTGGTTGCTAGGCTCACTACTGTTGAAAAGGTTTTCGGGCTCCCTGGGGGCGGGGATCGGAGATGGTGACATGAGCTGTCTGAAACCATCCTCACTGCTGAACATTGCCTCCTCGGTGAACTTGGACTGCCTCATCCGCGGTGTTGGTGGGGTTAATCCAACATCCTCATCTCCCAGGTCTGTGGAGAGGAAGGCCGGGGAATTGCGCCTCGCCTCCAGCCTCTTTTCCCTGTCCCTCACGGCCCCTGCAATGGCTGCTGCAAACGGACTGCTGACTCCCAAGCTGTCGTCAGGCCGGAGCTGTCCGGGCTGCTCCGAAGACTGAGGATCGATCTCCATGCTGCTCCCTTGGCTGCTTTTCCCGCTGCTGCTGGTGGATGGCTCTTTGACGATGATGGTTGGGATTGGAATAGAGCAGGTCTTTTCTGGACTGTCCTCCACGTTGGATTGTTTCACCAGCATCCCCTTCCTCCTGGCTGGCTTGGCTGGCACGTAAACGGCTTTGCTGGCAATCTTCCCAACCTCAGAATAGGGATTTTCCGGCATCTGGCCCCTCTTGCTCCTGAAATTGGCCTGAGCTGCGGCACTCCGGTTGTACAGGTCTTCCGAGTCCAGGGAGTATCGGTCCAGCTCCCGCCGGTAATAGATCCCTTTGTCCCTTATCATGGTCCCCACGCTCTCGGGCCTAACCAAAGAGATTTTTGCACCTGAATTCTGGTTAAATGGAGGTTTGATCGTTCCGTAGCTCCGGGTTGTCAGGGATTTGGGAGAGTTGTACAGAGAGGGGGAAGGTGGTGGTGGTGAGGGAGGTAAGGACTGTGGTGGTGGTGGGATATCTTCAGAGGTGTCAGGCATTGAAAGACTCCTGGTAAACTTCAGCATAGGAGGGGCCAGAAACTGCCGCTCTTCCTCCGTTATTCCTGAAAAATCAGAGAGTGCTTTTAAAACACTGCCACATCCACCGGGATCCCTCAGGCTGCACTATTTCTCCATCCAACCCAATATTCCAGGATGCATTCCCCACAGCATGAGGGATATGCAAAACTCCAAAAGAGGCCTTTAGGTTGATTCCCACTATAATCATTCTTTTCTGTGACATCCCAGGTGCCAGGATTGAAAAGAATGCCCATGGAATCTTAATTAAACTGACGTGTAGGCAAATGTTTGGGGTTTTTGTATCATCAAGGTGGCTGTAGAAAAGCACATTTTCTTTGAAAACTATTGAACAGGGAAGATATTCTGTGCAGAGGAGCTGCTTCTGCCTTGCTCCAGCACTCTACAAATGCATATAATAAAACAACTCAGAAACGTAATGAATTTTTAAGATGCAATTGAAATTTAGCAAAGAGACTGTGAAGGTCCTATTGGGAAAAAACCCCATAATGTTGCATTTCAAAAGACGACATTATATTATTACAAATATGGCTTTTAACATAAATAAACTGGGTAATACTGGGATACTTTGGATGCTAATTTTACATCAGCATAATGCATTTCTAAATTGATAAAAGTCACTGCTAAGATTACTAACAAGAACAAAGAAAGCCCAAATTTGGTCTGCTCTTTGTTCCTTTGCTGTAAAAACATCTATTGCCATCATTTGAAATGAAAAAAGGTGAATTTTAGTCCATTTGATCAACAGCATTTCTTTGTAAACTACACAGCATTACAATGCTTTCACCTCAATAACAAGGAAGAAAAAGGATCATATTTTGCCCTAATGTTTTGCAAAAGGCTTGTACTGATTTTTTTTTTTTTTTCGTCCTTGTTGCAGGGAACATTCTAAAGAAAATAACCAAATTATAATTCCATACTTGCCAAATGTGGAAATCACATCACCTTACACACAACCTTCTTTTCTCATGAGCTTTGTATAAAGATTAAACAGCCACTCACTGTGGTAAAGATGTTGGAGAAACACACTTTAGGAAAGAACCAAAGTTACTAAAAGTATGCTATTAATGAACAAAACCATACAAGAGAGGCATTTTACCTATAGATTTTTGTCTTCTCATTGTACCCCGAGGTATACCCAGAAAAGGACCTTGAGGGCTCCCTGGGACAGTGGGTGTCATCACAGCAATACCCTGTCTCTCATACATGGACTACAAAAGAGCAAACAGAAACCCCAACAGCATTAAAACATGAAAGTCTCTCCCATGTGGAAGTAATGCCTCATCCATTACCCCTTTCAGTGAGAATTCTTATGGGGAATAATAAATCTAGGGTTATTTCTGGGGAGGAGGTGGAGAGAAAGGGAAGACTGGGCTTTGTTTAGACACTCATGAAAGGACAGCAGCTGTAAGTGGAGTGTGTTGACATTATTTACAAGGCAACAGCTTAAGGTGGGTAATGGAAAAGTATGTTCAAAATGCAATAAAACCAGTTATTTTTTTTACCTGCAAAGTTTTGAAAGATTAAATTCTGCACTTGAATGATGCAATTTCCGAGTTCTGGCATTTAGTTTTTAATATGTGCTATAGTATTAGTGTCAATTCTTCCCTTACAAAGCATTGGGCATTATTTAATCAAGGAATTAGATACATTAGTAGGAATAAAGCAGTGCTTCATGGCTCCCACTCACATTCATATCTGTAGCTGAGGGAAAACATCTACTAGAAGGCCGCTGTTTTATAGTTGCCACTCTGGAGTCCACAGTTGCATTGTCTGCAATTCTTGATGGCTTGGAAACTGGCACTATTTCATCCACCTTATCTGTAATATAAAAGCATTCAGTAAAATAAATATCACTTGTTCAAAGAAATGGAAAAGTTAAGTATTGCAAGGTCAAAGGAAGAGATTTACTTTTCAAAAAAATGCAAAGAAAAAGGTTTTTTGGCATTTTAACAAGGCAACGCTTGAGCATCATAAGTCGTGCAAGCCGAGCACTTTTTATTGCCGCTACATAACATGCATGCTTTAGTTTTAAGCCTGCATGCATTTAATGTTTACTTAGTGTGACTCGAAAAACAATCCTCTTCTTCAAACCTTCAAAATGTGAAGGGAGAATATCTATATAGAAATGGAAAGAAGACCTTTAGAAATAGTGAATCCGTAGAGCACTGTTTCAAATAGAGATAAGCAGACTGTACTTAGCCATCAGAATTTCAGTGATATTTTGGACAATAACAAGTACTCCAGAAGTGCTCTTTCATGCCTATGCTCCTTAAATAATAAAAACCTGATTTGTTCACACTCTTGGATTTGTAGGCTAGCACTGCTAACTGCATCCTTTGTGTAACTTTTATAAGCATTTCTGTTGGTTTGGTTTTTTAAAATTTCTTTTAATAACTGGACAGTTTGGGAATGCATTTAGTCATGGTCAGAAGCAGACCAAAAACAGGCAAGTCCAAATCTGAATGAGAACTTCAATATTTGGATTTGGGACTCTGATCTACTGCATGATGTGATGGTAAAATACAGTGATAAGTTTAATCAGGATATTCCAAAGCTGAGTGATGGTGTTAGCCCCGTCTCCAACTTTGGTCACAAACAAGGTTCATCAGCATTAAATACAAAATGCTACTCCCTCACATGGAAGACCTTGAAGTATAGTATAATCCACTAATTATTGCCTGACAGCTCCTTTTTTTTCCCCCTTATACTGCTACGAAACCATGGCACAGAGAAATTAAATCACTAGCCCAAGCCACCAGGAGAGTTTGAGTTTGGAATCTCTACTAGAATCCAAATTGGAATCACACCAACAGTTTTCCTTCCTATGCCTTCCATTGCATTTGCTTGCCTGTATCACGTTAATTTAGTGTCTTTTCATTTGAAGTTTCACTAAAACTTGGATTAGTTTCATAGCCTGTGGCACTTCTGTGAGTGGAACACCTCAGGCTGGATCCTAGACTTCCACAACACAAGTCAGAGCAATGCTATTTTTCAGCAATTAGCTCCATCTCCCAAATAATTGATTGCTTGTCAAACAAGGATAGTTACTTCATTAGGATACTGCAGACTTGAAAAATACCCATGTTTTTGGTGATCTAGAGCTGGTGTTACTATCCCAATTATTGTATTTAGGGATTTAAATTTTACCTCTTGCTGGACGCTCAGAGCCCTGGATATTGATATGGATGGGAATAAGGCAGGAGGAAAAGAGCTTTTGATCCCTCTAAACAGTAGACCTGGCTGATGCAAGGATGATATTTTAAACAGGAGAAGAAGAGAGGGAAGAACTTTTAGCCTTCGTGTTAGGAAGAAGGTTGTCCTAGAAGTGGATATTTCAGTGTCACAGAGGGTCAGGGAGCAGGCAGGAAAGGAAAGACTGAGCAGGACCAATAAGCTGAACACTGCTGAGAACTGTCTCACAAGAGTAGTGTTGCTGTTTCTTTTCAACTGAAGTTAGCATTCAAGTATTTTCATTGGTCTGCCTTTTTTTTTTTTTTTGTGGGGTTTAAATCATCCAGTGGAAGGAGAAAAGGAAAAAAATTCTTAAAATTGTCACATGTACTCAAAAATAAAAAACCAAGTTCACGTCACATTTCTTAAGGCTTTTCATAAGGGGATCTATCACCAAGAGCTTCAACAGGGCAGAGATTCCTCTTAAGGCTCTCCCACCCTTGTTCTCATCCCAGAAGCCAAACAACTGATCTTTGGGATACAGAAAGAAGGAAGCCTTGGAAACTGAAGCACTCAAAATCTGCACATGAGAAATAGAAATACACCACGTAAGAAGTGATCCCCTTTATTTTGAACAGACACATGTAGCCAGATACCCATTCAGACAACAAAAAGCTACAGGGAAAGAGTGATGAGGCCATGACAGACACTTGGAAAAGCATGAAAATTTTTGCTGGGGATGAAACATACATACCCTGCAACTGCACTGATTTTGCTAGACAATCCTAGAAGTCAGATCCTAATTTTGGATCTGACCAAAATATCAGTTGGTACCCATTCTTAAAACCATCTACCATTTCCATGAGGGGAAAAAATCCCTGGTTTTGCATGAGTTTATTGCAGGTTTCTTGTCTGTAGAGAGGTTTTCAGTCCTTCTCACCCTATGGCTGCTCCCATTTGCCACATTTAGCCAAAGCACTAGGAAATGGGAGAGGAGGGCGGGTTAAAGCTTTGCAAGGAACTCTTTAGGGCTTCCTTGCATGGCACTTCCAACAGCAGCACTGCACAGCTCTTTCTCTCGCTCTACTGCCTTTGGATCAGAAAGAAAAGGTGGAGTGGAGGTTGTCATTTTGGAGCTACTACAACAAAAAATGTGAGGCCACAGAAGCAGCCAGCACGTGGAGACTGATCCTAAATGGTGGCAGCTACATGGCGGGTCCTGTGGGAAACGTCAAAATCTGAACGCCTGGCCACAACTGCCCCACCCTGCCGGAGTGAAAGCACGACGTGAAATAAAAACATCCTCACTGCCTTATCAAACGTGCTCTTCAGGCCAAGGAAATGGACTGGCTGAACCACAGCTAGCCTCACTCAGATTCATCCCAGAGAAAGAAGACGTGTTGGGCCGAACCTTCACTTGCCTGTGTCGCGAGCTGTTTGTCTCCACAGCACCAGAGTGCAAACCCCTCCTGCATCCAAACCACACGTTCCAAATATACTCCTACTGGAATAATTTGTCAGGCTCACTAATTAGCTCTCCTCCCAGCCTCCTCGTGAGCTCAAATACTCTGCAGCACGCACTCCTCATACCAACGAGCGGGGAAGCTCACAAGCTCCTGTGGGAAATTCTCTTAGGATAACTTTACAAATAACCCTGACAAAAGAAAGAGAAAAAAGCTACAAAACTGATGCAAAAATTGGCACCTGCTGTGAGGTGTGTTGATAGAGTGGCCCAAAGAAGCCTGCCTCCAATGGGATTTTTAAAAGGAATGCAGCTGGATGAAGGTCAAAAGGAAGGAATGTGGGAAAAGCCTACACTGGAGGTTGGCCATGCCAGCTGCACTTCCTCCTTGAACCGGTCGTTTAGCAGAGTACAGCCACAAGCACACACACACACACACACACTTTTACAGGAGAAGGTTGTGGCTGGCTGGTAGAGTAACAAACTCTGATCTGTTTTGCCCTGAATAACCTCAGCCTTACTGGAAGACAGGGAAGAAGAGTCTACATCTCACTGGCCAAAGAGCATGGCTCAGCTGTAGTCACAGAAGAGGATTTTTAAGCCTGCAATTGTTCCCTGGCATTTTCCATAGAAACTGCTCTGCACCTTCCCGAGAAGTCACGACGGCATGTTGAGAGTCAAACACAGGAGCCATGCTACACCTGTGAGAACCTGTTCCCACTGCTCCAGGGCCTCCTGGGAGCAGCATCTTTCCGGAGAACTGTCAGGGATACCACATGTAAAAGCCAGTCTGATGCCTCTGCATGCATATAGCAATTTGAGTGCCACTATATTAAATTCCCCCGAGAGAGGCAGCACCAACAGACATAAAGTAATTTATTGCCAAAGTGCATTTCCATCTGCCCTGTTGGGTTACCAATGGGACCCGTGCCCTGCTCAGGGTGCCAGCCCTCAGGAAATTGGATGGCCTAATGGCACAGAAAGTAGTTGTGTTTTATCAAGATGTAGGTCTCGTCTCTGATGAAAAGCTCTTAATCACAGACAGAGTAGCACAGTACCCAACAGCATGTCATGACTTTTACATTCTCAAGAGGTCTGGCTGCTAGGCAAGTTGCTTTTTTTTTTCTTTTTCTTTAATAATTAATATCTGTGATAATTACAGGGGACAGTCTTCTCCTAATAGATTTGTTACAGGAGATGGGTCTTATCCCCGTAGAACACATTGCTTAGTGACTCCTGTTCCGAATACCCAGACTCTCTCAGAGGAAAAAGTATAATGCTGCCCATCAAGCCACCAGATCCATCATCAAATGAACTTTGAAAACGAGAGTCAGGTGCCCAGATAGATCTGGTGGCACATCACTACACAGCCCCCAAAAAGAGAAATATGAGGTATGATCCTGGCAACATTACTTATTGTACGACATAGCCAAGACATGTGGATTAGCTCCACCGAGGGTCTTAGGAAGTGAGCTGGTGAGACCCACAGAGGATAAGAATGGTAATGATCCAGTACAGGCTATACCCCAACACCTCAGGCTGGCATGCCAGAAACACCAGGCAAAGACTGATCGAACACAGTTTGGGAGGCGAGTATTGCCAAGACCTCTATACTTACCACCAAGTCCCGAGTGCTTGCTCAGAGGGGGTGGGATAATGGAGAAAGAAAACTCAAAAAACAGCTGCCTCAAGAAATGACTTGTATTTGTAAGAAAAGCAACGAATGCCTAGCACAGAGTAAAAAAATGCTTGTATGAAGTTAAAGTGAAAGAACAGAGGCAAATGTTCTTCAAATACCAGCAGCACACATCGTTAACAGTGCAAATATAAACTACAAAATGTTAGACTAATCTAGTCAGCCAGAATACAATGTTAGCCAATGTAGGAAATGGTTGAACTCTGCCACCGATGGCCTTATGGCTAAGAATTAAAAGGACAGGCACATTAAAAAAAACTCTAAAAATCCTATGGAGTGGTTATTTTTTCTTCCCTCCCCCTTTTGCCTGGCGTGGAGGCATGGGCAGCGAGGCCCTCTCGGTTATGGCTCTCTGCAGCCGGCCACTGCGACAAGGCAGGGTGGCCTGCGGTGGGTCGCGAGAGGCGCTCGTCCCTTCGGCCCCTGGTAAGCACACAGTGGAGGATGCCACTGCGTCCTCACCAGTCCATGTCGAGGCACATGTCAACTCGACATGGGGGGTGGCTCTTTGGGAGATGCGCGTTTCAAGGACCTGTGTCCTCGGCTGCTTGAGGAAAGCTAAAATCTCTGACAGGTAGTTATGGATGGCTCTTGTGGAGGTAGCCACAATGCCCAGCTGCAGCTCCATACGGCCCATGGACTGGGACATGAGACCCATGGACTGTGCATGCTCCCTCTTGATATTTTCCAGCAGCTGCACAATCCTACTGTTGGTTTCCATCAACAGCTTCTCTCCCTCTGTTAGCTGGGGCTGCCCTCTCCAACCCCGATCCCTAGGGACAGGCTCAACACCGCAGCGCTCTTCATTCATCTCATCATTTCCCTCCTCCTCAGGAGAGTCACTTTCAAACTGAGGAGTCCTACTGAGTGACTGATCCCCGGGAGACTGTATGTCCATGGTGCACTCTGGAGTCCGCGCCGGCGTTTGAAATCCCTCAAAATCCTCCCCAACGTTGCTGTGCGTTTCAGATGAGGACAGCGGCCACTGCCAGCTCTCTGTGGTCCTGGCTGGCGAGTCTTCGTCAGAGGCAGGCACCGAGGATTCCTGTTCTTCGGCCGGCGTGGACAGCGAGCTCCCTCGGTGATGGCTGGCTTGCCCCGAGGATCCAGGAACCTCCCCATCTTGCTCCCCAGTGACATCTGGCAATCAAATAGAGGAGCAACAACCACTGTATCTGAGGCCAGGCAGATGGAGGTATCTACATGCATTGGACAACACATAGAAAGAAGCCAGTTGGGAAGCCAGAGTGTATGTGTTTGGGCAAACAGAAGGGCGGACTAAAGTTTAGTGACTGCATTGGGCACGTGGTAATTGGCGTCATTAAGCACTTTTGGTCTCAGTGCACACTGTCCTGTACCCAGAACACACACAGCCATGCTGCATCCCAAGGCAGGAGCTACCAAATTCCCCTCAGCGTGACTGTGACAGGAAATGTCAGTGAACCTAGCGAGAAGCTCACCTATGCACTGCAGTGGTGTCAGTCAGAAATCCCTGGGACGAGCTCAGGGCCAAGGGTCCAATTGAGCTTCCTGGGGTGCCAGATGTGCTCCACCACTGGCTGAGGGCAGCCCTTTGTTGCTCTGAAGCACTGCTGGCTATCTTCACTTTTGTCCGACGTCTCACGTCACCCCACCCAAAATCTCTCTCAAATAACTGCTGCAGCGCGACGGTGGCTGTCCGTGGGATTATCCCGCGAGCAATGCCCTCCCCAACATTTGCCAGATTTTCCTTGCTCTCTTCTCCAAACAGTAGGAAATGCTATCTGAGGGCATTGCTCACCGGGATCTCTTTGTCTCCTGAAAATGAACTGAGTTTTGCCCTCCCCTGGCTACCTCTTCCCTTGCCTGAGGGTGCGTGGTGGAAATCTGGGTGCAAACACTTCCCCCATGGCAACTCTAGAGAAAAATGCCCTCCAAAAGAGCAGGAAAGGCTTGGGCTTTTGCACCCACAGGAATCACCAGCTCACAATGGAATGTGATCTGCCCAACTCTCTCCTGCACGTCTCTGCATTACATGAGGCTGTAGCCAGGACTCTGTACACTTTCTGTTACTTCAGATAAAAAAAATGAGTCCACTTTTTTTTTTTTTTTTTTAGGGGAGCCAATTTGGTCATGAGAAATCACTCTGGGGCAGTGTGGCTGAAGGAGGCAGCACAAAGCCCAAAGCCCTGCATTCCCCACGCTCAGGCAAGAGACAGTTGAGAGAAGCACTGCTCCCAGTAGGGTTGTGACCTGACCAGCTGCTGCTGCTCACACCGCAGTGGCCTGAGTGCCAGATCAGTGCTGTGCCTACTCTCTGGCATCCCAGCCTTGAAAAAAGCTTTTTGGGGTTTTTTTTAAAGGATTAATTTCTGCTTTTTGAAATACTGCTCTTTGGACCTCAGTGGAAGCTGTAAGCTTATATCTGCAAGGTGTTGCTGAGGTCATGCTAAACCATACTTTTGCTTCTGTTTATGAATCAGGGCAGGGTTTTGTTTGATTTAAAAAAATACATATTTTATGTGAAATATAATGAAATGAAAAGCTTTTTCTGATAGACCCAAGGATCCCTCCTCCTATATCTCAATCCCTGTCTACCACAGTGTGGTACTCATTATCACCCATGTGCCTGCAGTATTATGGTGCTCTAAAAGAGATTCTGTGTGACTTCATTGAATGATGACTTTTAAGTGCTAAAATAATGGATATTATTCGTGCATTTAGCATATTCACTACTTCAAAGTATTCACATTCAAAGTATTCATATTCTCTCTGCGTCTGGCTGGACTGTCCAGTTGCATGTTTTATGGAAAGTGAGGATGAAATTGTATTTGTAAAAAGGAATGAGCTCCTTATGGAAATGAATTCTAGGGACAAACTGTCATGCAATCATTGGCTCTTCCACTCCATGGAGGTTTGAAAGGGACTATATATCAACCTAGCTAAGAACTGCTTCTTCCTTGGCAATTATTCTCCTGATTTGTCTAATACAGCCATAGCTGCATTCCTTCATTAGCAAAGCTCTCTTAGCAACTACAGTGTAGGATCATGAAATGATTTTTCAGCATTTTCCTGTTTGAGTACACATGAAAAAAAAAAAGAACAAAAAAACAGGGGACCTAATTTTACCACACAAAGCAAACACACACTTCAGTTAAAGTCTATGGAATTGGAGTGAGGTAAGGGATCATAAATACTCATTCTGGTAGAGCCACTGGTCATACTGAATGTCTTGGCATTTCTTTTGACATGTCAACAGAAAATTCCCCATATTTAAAAACCCCATTTAGCTGGCAAGTGTTCTAAACAGAGCCCACCTAACAACTGGTAAATAGTAGAACCAAACTATACTGGAAGTCAAAAACGGAAGCAAAACGAAATCAAAAACCTCCAAACTCCACACTGAATTATGAATACTTCTGTAAATGGTATCACTGTGTCTAGTTTGTTCAGACTCAGGGGGACCAGAACACCTTTGTTATTTGTGCATGTCTACATATTTGCCAGAGGCTTGTAAAGAAAAATTTCTCTGAAAAAGTGCAATAATAAATTTTTGCAAAATTCCTTATGTCTTGTGAAATGTTACCACTTGCCATTCTCCCAATCAGTCTTTTCAGCCTTTCAGAGCTGAAAGAACAGCATCTGGCAATTGGTGACCAATGACACAAATGACAAAAAAGCAGAGTCTGTGAAAACCCCTGGGCAGAAGGTTAATTGCAGAAACTCTTGGCGAATACTTCTGAATAATGAATACATGCACAGGCTTTAGGTTAGGTTGGTAAACTTGGCTGGCAATGAGAAGAAGGAACAATCATCACTATTATTATTTATAACAAGGTGTTCAGCATCTCTCAGCAACTCTGGTTTCTGGAAGCTTTGGGAAGCATTGCCATGGGCATGGGGAACCGAGGGTGTGTTACAGGCATGGCCTTCCACAAACTTTCCTTCACTAAGGAGCAGTCATGGGAAAATTGCCTGGAGGCCACTGGCTGACACCACTGGGATGAACGTGTGAGTCTGTCCAAGAAATCCATTCCTTGGTGACCAAAAGTCACCCTAAATTCTGGACGGACCTTGGTCAGGTTGGTTACACCAGTGCCTAGGCTGGGGCTGTGGGAGAGGTGTGCCAGGGACAGCAGGGGCACTGCAAAATTGAGTTCAGCCAGAAACTGTCCTTATGTTCGAACAGCTGGCAGAGTGACCTCGACTAACTGCCTTTAACTCCTTAGAAAAGGGCCCACTTCCAAAAAAAGAGAGAGAGAGAGGCCACTACAACTGTGAAGTCAAAATTGGCCATGGATCAAACCATGCACCAACATGGCTGACCTCACCTGGTTGTTAATTTGCTTTAAAAAAAAAGAAAAAAAGTCTCTTTCTTTTCAAGCTTTAAATAGAGTGGGTACAAAGAAGCACAGCTGGCTTCCTTGGGTGTGAAGCAAAGGGAAGAGGTCAGATTCTCTGATCTTTCTAGCAATTTCCACCTGACACACCATTCCTACATGCAGCACTTTGCTCACCGTGACAGATATGACTTACAGGCAAAATAGGTCACTTCTGTCTTACAGGTATTTTTATACCAAGTGATAGCAGCCATCAGACCTGCAGCCTCCAAGGTTCACATTCCTAACCTCATGTCCCTTGCTCTGCTGGGGCAGGACTTCCATCTCCGTCCTTAAATGGCTGAGGAAGGGACTCAGGGAGGAGCATGCAAATGGGTTAAAGGGAGCAGAAACATCTGGAAGTCAGTGACCCACTGCATTTCAGCTTTAGTGTTTGCTCACTGTGGGTACTATGCAGCTATTTCCAAAAGCCCCCCAGGATTCTCAGGGTTCTGAAGGCTGTTTTTTGTTTTACCTCAGTGACTCTGTTGTGTTTAAGGAGAAAAAAAAAAGAGATCTGCTATTGAGGGGGTCCATGCAATAGAAACTGGTGAGCCTCCACCAAAGTCCTGGCTATCTCCCTTTCTCCCCTGTTGGACAGGTTCTCTGTTTCTGCAGAGGAGCAGAATCTGCCAGACAGATTCTCTGTTCCTGCTGCCTATCCAGGTGATTCCCTTGGGCTGACACAGAGCCTGGTCTGATGTGGTGGATCAGCAGGTGCTCCTGGAGGCCACAGGAGTGCTGCTCCAGGTGTGCCTGCAGGGGAGAGCTGCGGTTTTCCCCATCCTGCCCTGAGCATGCTGATCAAAGCCAAGTTTATTCCAGCCTTTAGTTCATGAATATGTCCATTATTTTGGAGCACTGCTATTCCGTGCTATTCCTTGCACCACAACGTTCATTTTACCACTCAGAGTCCTTGGTGTTGGTCATTAGGCATTTTTAGGATTGTAGCAATTACTGGGTTGAGATACACAGAGAATTACTGAATGGTTGATTCAGCTGCAGGGGTAGAGGACTGAGACAGAGGCCAAGAACAGAGCAGGGCTTTGGATATACACAAACTTTAGAGACATCAGAAGTATTTCTTTAACTTTTGGTCACTGAAGAACATTTGAGATTTATGCCTGTGTTGTGCCTTACCTGCCACTTGGACTGGCAGCTGATCCCTCCCCTGAGATGTGCTGCTCTTTAAGAAGCCCTCCTTTTGAAATCCCACCATTCCTGTTTCACCTCTGCTACCGGATCGTTGCCTTTTCCATTATCTTTCCTTTTCAGACTGCCCACCAGCGGAGCTGCACGGGAGGGCTGGGGCACCGTCTCTTCCTGCTGACAGACAGGTGGGTGGAGATGTCCCTTGGCCACAACAAGAGGGCCAGGAGCCCAACAACAGCGGGAACACAGCGGGGGAGCTTCCCGGGCCCTGCCTCTGCTGCTCTGGACCTGGGCCTCTGTCTGTATCTCATCATCCCTCCTGGGGTGGGTGCATTTCTCAAACTGCTTAGGTACCAAGGTGATAGGTGCCTTGTAAATACCTAAGATAGATACAGACAGAAACTGTACCAGGCGCATTAAGCAACACTTCAGACAATGCCAATGGCACCTCAGTGCTGTAGGATCACCCACCTGGTCCAGCATCTGCAGGCAAATACTGGGCACATGCATTTTTCCTTTGGAAAAGTGATGGGAACACAGGACATTCATTCTTCCTTGGTGGCAACAGGTTTGGGCACACAGCCCTTAGTGTCAGGCACTGCACATGCAAGGGTTTTGTTCCATCGCCTTCCCTAAATACGAGTTTGCAGGTTTAGTTTAATTTCCTTCGTTATCCAATAAAATTTGCTGCCTTGTCAATATTCTGCAAAAACGGGTTACAGGAGCTGCACCAAAAGTAAAGGAGTGGTCTTCACATGAGCCTAATTAAAATGCCTATTTGAAATGCCTTTTAAATGACATAAAAATATGGCTGTGGTGTTGCTTTCATCTTATAGAGTCAATTTCTTATCCCAATTTATTGTATTTTTAACTACAAGTAGCTTGTTTTTAGCATGAAGACCAGGAGTGATTATGCATATAATTAAGTTTCCATGTCTGGAAAGGAAAAAAAAATCAGCATCTAAATCAAGTTGTGCAATTATTTGCACTGCGTTCGTTTCAGGTTTTTGGCACTTCCCATATATATGCCAAAGGCCTTGCCCTGCTTAATTTGTAAAAGAATAGCTGGGAAGTAACTGGATAAAAACTTCAGGGGGAATGTCTGTGGATGGGAGAGCTACCAAACAACAATTTGGGCAAACAGTGGGTATGGGGAGCTGGGCAAGGCTTTCAAAGAAGCAGATGAACAAAAATTCTGGACCACCTTCCCAGTGCTAGCAGGCAGGTGAGAACCTACTGATTTCAAAAGAAAGCTTGGTCAGACCACAGGAGTTCAGCTGATAAAGTTACTTGGCACAGAAGCAATTTCACCTGACAGTGTCCCTGGGGGAAAAACAGGTGACTCATGTTTGGTTAAAATGGTTAAAAATGGATTTGTGCCCGCTGAGAACAAATGGCTTTCTTTTCAGCTCTTCAAACAGGATCAGATGTGTAAAAATTCATGAAAGACCAAAAGTAGGTAAAGTATAACAAGGCCTTCAACACACCACTGAGCATTTAAAGACCAGCCTTAGCTGAAGCATGGATTCAGAATAAGAACATTAAAGGTTAAGTTCTAAATTCAAATTTGTTGTTTATGATCAAAATTAGAGGAAAGAAACAACAAGTTCAGCCTACAGTTATGTCCTGTAAATATAGAATTAAAAATATACAGAAATGGAATGACCTGAGTTTTCAGGTGGACAATTAGGCTAATCCTCATCAATCTGCCACCACTGTATTTTAATCTGGAATTACCTTTTTCCAGTCCCACCCCAAATTAACAATTTGCAGGATTGTGCTTGAATCACAATGCCCAAACCACACATTTACCATACTGCAAACAACAGGCAGAGAATATTATTTTAGCAGTCAGCATAATGAGGAAATAATTAAAGTGCTTTGCAATACAGTCAAACACAAAAGGCGCTTGAAACACTTTCCTTCTATGAAAATTAACTAAAAATACCTGTCTGTTCTCTGGGATACTGTAAATTCTACAAAGTACTCTAAAATAATAATAAAAAAGTAAAATCAATCAATGAAACATAAAAAAATAAGCTACTAAAATTAATCATTTAACATTGAGTATCTATAAATACCATTACATGATTTATGAAAATGCTTTGTAGGTATTCACAATAAAGAGCTCTCAAAACTTTCTTGAAGGAAAGCCTTATTTGTGTCTCTAGGGCTGAAAACAGCTTCACATTATTACACACGTCACATTTACACATTATAACCACACCATCAAAAGTAATTTTTAAGGAAGGCAGAAAACGGATATGTTCAAATTCTTTCCAGAGATACAATTTTCAAGTACCAGCTCTTTAACAGCATGTTCATTATTAAGGAAATAATGATACAGGCATTTAAAATACACCTGCAATGCTGAAGCCTTGCAATTCAGCCTACCTTGAAAGAGGAATGGTCATTGTCTAACAGTGGTTTCTGTTCAAGAACAAAAACAAAGCAGAGAATATAGTCAATACCCACTCCTACCCTGCAAGCCAGGTGGAATTTAAATGGCAATTTGATGTTCTGTTTAAGAGACAGCATTTGAAAATTTGGCCTAGTCACAAAAGAAAGGCAATCGAATCAAAGAAACCAAAAAGAAGGTGGAGGATCTAAGACACTTACAGCCTTCTCTGGTCTTACACTTAACTCTCATGCTTCCACACCGAGGGGAAAAACCAAACAAACTATGAGGAATTATCTAAAACAATTTATTTTTAATTAGATTAGAAATTAATTAACATGGGTATGTGAACAATTGAAGGCAAAAGAAAAAAAAATAGCAGCAAAGGGAGTTTTGAGATGAGGGAGATAAGTCCTTCATCTCCCTGGCTCCTGAAAAAGAGAGAGAACACATTAAAAGTGCTGAAAGAGTTTTCCACTGCCCTAACTGTGCCATGTTGGGAAACACATGCAATTTTAACTGTTCCTCAAGCCCTCATGATTTTTAATATGTGCTTAGATATTAAATTGATAATATCTGAGCATAGTCACACTCACATAAACCAACATATTTAATGTGTCTCTTTGCAAATGCTACAAACCCCACATTTTCTGTAACACTTACAATTCCTTTTCCAACTTCTTTTGTACCATAGTCTTGTTTGGCTGATGCAGAAAGGTTTTTAAAACCTTTTCAATTATACTCCTGTAGTAAAGGAAAGCAAGTATCATGACAGGGCGCTACCTCCTCAAGAAAAAGCTGATAAACTCATAATAACAGTGTAGATGAGAACACCCATACAGACTCAAGCAGCCTCTACTCATGATTCCCAGTGCTTCCAAAATGTTAAAGCATCTCATAAAAGGTAAATCCTGGTCTGAATAATTCTTTAGTACCAGGAGTTACCTGTTAAGTTTGGATTCTGTGGCACAGGTTGCTAATCAACACATTGCCAAGTTATTTTTCGTGGAAAACACAGGTTTAGCATTGTTCCCTTTTTGAAACATGCCAATTTTCAATACTTTGCTCTCACAAATTGTTTTACAAGTACTTATATTGTAGCCACGGTCCTAATCCTACACTTACACTGCTGTGGACTCCCCCAGGTTACACTACAAGCTGTAAAATCTGCAGCCTTGCTGCACCGACCACAAACGGGGCTGGCATTTCTTCACACAGACTTGACAAATTCCACCCAGAGTCACTGCTTTCTGCTTGAGATAAATGACAACCCGATGACAACCTCTTCCTCATTACTACACTGCCACCTCATTAGAATTTCAAATATGTAATGTGAATCAATTACTTACAAGGGATAACCTTCAAGAATTCTTCATGAAGCCTGATGCCTTTTGCTCTCATCTTCTGAAAGAGTATCTGCTGAAGATCTGAAAACCTTCTTCCTACAGAGAAGTACTGCAGGTGCTGGAAGCTATCTCAGGAGCTGCTGTGGTGAGTGCTGTAAATGTTGCTTTGGTGGTATTCCCATTGTTCCCTGCAGACAAATCTCCATCATCAACTCCACCACAGTGAAATAAAGAAAGTGAGTTTTGAACCCAGACGGCTTTGGGAGTGGTCTCTTCAAACAGAACAGAACACTGTGAGCTAATCCACTGCTTGGCATTCATTTATATATATTTGCTCTGCAATTTCATTGTTTCAGATGCCATTTGAAGGTGCCACCTTTGAAACAATGGACAACAGGAATGAGATGAAGTGGGAATGCTTATTGCAGACAGAGCTAATAATATTTCTTTTGAATGCCATCAACTGATATTTTTCTATTCAAATGCCAGTCAGACTTGATGCCAGGTAACCATATTCTGTGTTGATGATACAACAGTTATTGTGTATCTGTGAAGTGGTGACAGAATCTAAACCCTTCAAAGGAGAAAATCCATTATTTGTAGTTGGTACTGCAGCCCACACCAAAGCCCAAAGACCAGGACCAGCGCACATACTTTATCAGGATATGGTGTATATCAATATTTTATATTGATTACCATATCAAATCTAAGAACAAACAGCACCACCCCAGCTCACAGTTGACACCCATGTGACACTGCCAGCAGATTATTTATGAATGCAGAAGGATTATTTGTCATTCCCATTTCACTGTGGAAATTTAACCTGCTCTGTTCTTAATTTTGTCTTCTCTCTTAGAGGATTTTATATTAGGTATTTTAAAATTCAACTGTCCACTTCAGCTTTCACTGAAATAGCCACAATTACTCACTAAATCAAACCCATTTCCTGGCAGCAAAGAAAGCTGAGGAGCAGGAAACTTTAAAATCATGTATCTAAACATTTACACATCCTAGCTTATGGATGTGTTCCTTAGGGTTCATATAATTTTCAAATTCTCCCTCCACAAGGAGTTATTCATAAGTCAAAAGAAAAACTGAAGGAAAAGCCATTTAACACCAAGCTCTCCACCAGCTGCATAAACTTATTATGAACAGAGTTTAAATTTAGAGTTTTAAATATTAATTTTGAAGCTGTAATGATACCTATTTTTCCGTTATGATGATGAAAATTATGACCTCAAATTTTTCCCTTAATCTTTCATTTTCAGAGTGTTTTCAAACCTTCATTTCAATTTGCTGCACGAATATCCTGGTTACTGTTCAGTATTAATGGAATCACATTTTAAGTGCTGCCTCCAACAAGTTCTGCTACAACTCTTGGTTTACACGTTGCCATAACTTACTCATACAACTGTTCTTGGAAAACTACAAGGCACAGGAAAGAAGAACACCTCTCCCCCATCCCAGGCATCCCACAAAATCCAGAAAGTAGTTTGGAAACACAACCCTTCCACACACGCATTCCAAGGTTGGAAGCTACCTCTAAGTCAGGCAACTACTGCAAGCAGAAAGTCAGTGGCACAGAAGAAGTTAAATTTTTGTTAAATTCATGCTTTGTAACTGCAGTAAAATAACAGAACTGCCTATGCCATGCTGCTCCAAACCTAAGGATTTTATCACCTTTTTAGACACAAATACCCTATCTTCTATCCTGCATATAAAAAAATACAGCCTATATCCTGTCCTGCCCTGCCTTTCCCCTGCTTTCCCAATGAACCAGAACCCATCTCCAGAGATAATCAACAAGACCAGTCAGATAAGAACCACAGAAGCCATTATTGTTATCTTAATGCCTCCCTCATCTCTGACCCAGAAAACTGAATTCGTGGTTGACAGAAGACTCTACACAACAATACAGAGATTTTTTTTTATATGCTGCCAAAACATATTTTTCAGTAGCAATGTGGTTTATTCTGTCATAATCTCTGAATGGAGAATGGCAAATATCCCTAGCTGGAACCTCTGGTAACCACCTGAAAGGAGGTCAGGAAAGAGCAGGAAAATAAAGAGTGGAAAATAACCCAATTCCGTCCTATTAAATGTCAAAAAGGAAAAGCCTCCCTGCTGAAAGAAGACACTGCCTACAGCCTAGATTTCTTTTCCATAACACTGAACCTCGTCCATGAGCAGGACACAGCCTGTTTTTCACCAGCTAGCACCCAGGGGCTCAGGGAAGTGGGAGACTCTTCCTTGGGCCAGGCTCCATGAGAAGGTGGAAATGAACAGCCCCTGCTCGGGAGAGCTCACAATCTAGGGAAGCAAAATGACGTACAGGAGCATGGAAAAAGTGCAGCTCAACACAAACTCTCTGTACACAAAAATACATTAATGAGAACTATTAAAATAGCACTGCTATTTCTACCTGCCCCCCTGCCTCGCCATCAGTGCTGGGATGATTGCTCAGTGGGGATCTAGGGGAGGTGGGTCTTTGGGAGAGATTTCAAGGAGAAGGTGGTAGGTGGCCTCATGAATCAGTCCAGGGAGGGCACTCCATGCATACAGGACAGCGTGGAAGATGATCTACCAGACAGAGCAGCATTTCTGCAGGTGAGAAGCTCAGGTGTGGTGTGCAAGATCCCTGACTCCTGAGCCAGACACAGTGTGGGCATGGGAAAACGTGTGGCCGCTGGGGAGACGAGCGGGATCACTAATGTGGGACTGCACTGGGGGGTCACTGGCCACTAACTCTCTGTGGCTGCCAGTCAGCACAGGAACTGTGAGGAGATGAGATGGAAGGGGTTGGAGAAGAGTCGGGTACAGAGAAGGAAAAAAAAGGCAAGGTGAAGGAAAGGAGACAAAAGGAAGAAATGCAGGGGATATTTTCGAATGTGGTCTTCTATTTGAGTTTCTTAGTGTGTTTGCAATTTATTAACTAATTAACTAAAAAAACATATACAATAATTAATGTACATTTGACACCATAAAAGAAACTGGACCATATGCCAACATTTACATTGTTATTATCCTTCACTATGGAAAGGTGAGAAACAGGTTAAACAAGAGACAAAATGCTTCCCCTTACCCTTCTTCTTCCGTACTGAAGCTTGGAAATAGAAAGGGAAGGAACTGTGAATCAATTCTGAAGGTAATGTTTTATATGCTAAATCCTCATCTGTCATTTTGAGTGCAAGCATTATCCTTCCCTCTAAGGTGTCAGTCTCTCCCTGCTCACCTCTGCTAAATAGGTATCTCTCAAACCACAGTAGATAAAATCTGCTTTTGCCAAGCTGTTTATCAGGGTTTACGAGGAATTTCTCCCCTGCAGTTATTAAGGATACATGCAGACATTTTTTTCCTAAGTTCTTTTTAAAAGCAGTAATTGGGGCAACTTATTGATACCAGGGCTGTCAAACTAGGACAACATCAGGCATTCCCCAATCTTTGCAGATTTAAATGGAAAGGAATCATTAGCACACTGCCATCTTTTGAATGAATTAATTTGAAGGAGAACAACTCAGATGGTCTGCTCTGTATTATGAAGAACAGAATAGCTCAAAACATGTCAATAAAACTGTAAGTAGGGTTCAGAGCCAGGCAAAGGAAGTGATTCTAATGACTGCAAGATGGATAATTTTTTTTTAAAAAATGATGTTTACCTTAGCTAGAAGACATTACAAAACTATGCACTCTAAGGGAAAGCAAATGGGGAGTTTCTATTTACATTTTCCTTCTATTACATAACAAGGGACATTCAATAAAATTAAAGGCATCACATTCAAAACCAATAAAAAGGAAATACATCTGTACACAGCACATAATTAGCCCGTGGGATTCTTTGTCATGAGACATTATTGAGACCACAAGCTTCTCCAGCTCAGGAAAAAGGGTTACACATAGGTATTGATGAGAACATCCACAGTGCTCATTTATAGGTTCTTCCTATTTGGTTTGCACATATATGGCATGAAAGGAATGCTCATTCATTAGAGAGTTTAATGGCTATAAAAATGTGGGTGTTCTCATAGCTCTCACAGATGTCCAATATATACACAAATACATAGAGGGATATATAAATTATAGATAAATACACACATACAAGCTGTGTTTTATGTCAGGAGACAACTTTTAACTGATGATAGGGAGAACACTTTCCCTGTGGAAGCTTGTTCAGTTGCTGTGCAATTTAAGATTTCTTGCCCCTTCTGGTAATAGCCCTGTTCCACAAAGGGACAAATATGAAAATAGGTAGACCACAGATGTTATTTGGAACAGCAGTCACATTGTTTGCTAGGGTGACAAATGTTCAGAGTATCACAGAAGTGGCATTTACAGACTTTTTTAGGAAGAAAGCAAATTTCTGCCACTTCTACAGCTTTCCTAGGGGACAAACACCTCTGGAACATGGTGCAGAACTATTCCTCAGAACAGAAAACTCCTGCCACTGCAAGGTCTGCTCCATCTGGATAAAGGTATGAATGGGAAATGTGCTTAAAAATGGAAATATGTCCCATGGTTGCTTGTTAAAGTAGTTGCAGTGGTTTCTGCCACTTGGTGAGGACAAACAGCAGAGCAAGAGCCACAGCTTGAGCAGGAGGGTGGGAAAGCTAAAATATGATGGTCTCCACTGGGAACATTACTATGAGCAAGCTATTCTTCCCTAGGAAAGTGCTGCTTGGGCTTTAAGATCAATATCCCCTGTGGAGGATTGAAAAGTCAGAGAAATAGAAGAATATCCTCAGCTTGAAAGCAATTGACAGAAGAGGATAACAAAGGGACAAAAATGGAGCTTAAATGTTGCTGTCCCCTTGGAAAAGGTGGTTGATAAACCAGCAAAGTTTTACAAGCTCTCAGCACTCCATGAAAGAAAAGCAAATGGAAAACACCCAGACCCACAAAGTGTGCTCCAGAAATAATATTTTACATTTTAATCCTGGAAGAAAAATGATGGAGCATTCACAAGCTGATGATACCTCGAGTTAAGCTCCTAAATTTCCTTGTACAAAAAACCCAAATTTTCTGAGATTTGCTGGAGCTAAATAATCAGACTGGGGTGGTTTTTTTTGGTCTTCATTTGGTTGTTAGACCATAGAGAAG